CGCCAACCGCATCCGCCTCGCCTCCGCCGGCGCCATCCCCCTCCTCGCCGACCTCCTCTCCTCCCCCGACCCCCGCGCCCAAGAACACGCCGTCACCGCCCTCCTCAACCTCTCCATCAACGACGCCAACAAGGGCGCAATCGTCAACTCCGGCGCCATCCCGGATATTGTCGCCGTCCTCCGCTCCGGTAGCCCGGAGGCCCGCGAGAACGCCGCCGCCGCCCTCTTCAGCCTCTCGGCCGCCGACGAGAACAAGGTGGCCATAGGGGCCGCCGGGGCCGTGGCCGCTCTCGTCGACCTCCTCCGGACGGGGACTCCGAGGGGGAGAAAAGACGCGGCCACGGCTATATTCAACCTTTGCATATATGGTGGGAACAAGGCGCGGGCCGTCAGGGCCGGGGTCGTGGGCCCGTTGATGGGCTTTTTGAGGGATCCGGGCGGCGGGATGGCGGACGAGGCGTTGGCGATACTTGCGATCTTGGCGGGCCATCCGGAGGGGCGGGCCGGGATTGCGGGGGAAAGGCCCGTCCCGGAGCTTGTGGAGGTGGTGAGGACGGGTTCGCCGAGGAATAGGGAGAATGCGGCGGCGGTTTTGTGGGCGTTGTGTGCGGGAGGAGACGGGAGGTGGCTCAAGGGGGAGGAAGGGGCGGAGGAGGCGTTGAGGGAGTTGGCAGAGAATGGGACGGATAGGGCGAAGAGGAAGGCTTTGGCCGTGCTCGAGGTGCTTGGTTTGTGACTTAGTGTGATTGGTATTTATTTATTTTTTATTTTTCTTGGATAGATGAAGATTGTTGTGTATTTTGTTTCTTGATTTTGGGTAGGCTTGTGTGGGTTTTTTTTATGTTGTACTGAAGAATTGTTGGTAGTTTCGTTGTAATATTGTATATTGTGGTTGTGTAAATTGTTGGTATGATGAAGTAACAATGTACTTGTTTGGTTGCATGTTATTGTGATTGTACTATTGTATTGTGGATGTGATTGGACTATTTAATGAAGGTTACTCTTTACAGTTGGATTTTTTTTATATTGTTTTCAAGATTGGATGTATTTTTTTAACTTGTACTGTGTTTATGTGGATTGAATTTAACAAGCGTGTCAGAAAATTACAAATTTAGCCCTGTATGATTAAAATGCAATTCTATACACATTGAGTAATTGAAACGTGGGAGCGAAAGGGCCAANATAATGACAAAAAAAAAAAAAAAAAATTGAATCTCAATTGATACATACTACAAACTCCACACTAAAACCCATTTACACGAAATCATATGCTAACTCTCAAGAAAATAAACAAAAACATGAAATTTCCTCTTGAAACCTCAACCGAGCAAAAATTACTCTTGAAACTCATTGGACTCTAGCCTCTTGCATCTTCCTCTTGTTTATTTCCTCCGCTGCCTCCTCTGTCGAGCAAAGATTAGAAGAATTGTTGGTAGTTATATTGTAATATTGCATTATGCTTGTGTGTAAACTTCTTGGTACGATGAAGTAACATCCTTGTTTGGTTTTCAAGTCCATGATTATATCACTCGAAAACTTTATTAGTCACAATGGCACCCAACTATTCAGGAACCTTGTGAACTTCTGTTGTAAGGGCAGATGGTTAAATTTGATAAATAAACTCCATATGTCACAAGTGCACCAGAGTTAGTTCATGCACCAAATCAACACTGGTTATGTCTAACAAGCAAAACACTCGAAAGCTTTCAACTTTGAACCCTTAACAAAATTTTGCCTAATAAAACGGCTCTCGTCACCAAACGAACCTCATACCACTTTTGCTCCACAACCAGATCATAAACAGAGAACACAAATAACTGAGGCTGCGAAATTCAGTGGCCAGTACATCCTCCATCTGAATCCGAAAAGTAAAAAACTAAACCTGCTCGGCAACCCATTTGAGCGTGTTTTAAACTCGTCGAGAACTAGGTAAGTCAAATAATAGGTCCCCTTTCTTCCAGTTAAACTTCCAAAACATACACCATCTATCGGTGTATTTCAATGTAACCCTCAATCACCACCAAAATCAAGCAAAACAAAATGTGGCGCCCAATAACCGATACAAAGCACAAACACACAACAAATTGATAAAATCACTAGAACGAGTCGAAAGCAAACATCCCGGCCCAAATGCATCACAGCCAGCTCCAGTGCATACACTAAAGAAAAATCCCAACGGCAAAACATAAAAGCAAACTCAAATCCAAATCCATACGGCGGTACCAAGGTTGGCTAAACATCTCATCAAATACCCGGAGAAAATTACACAAAGAGAACCCTTTCAGTAACGGTCCAATGAAAGGGGCCGGGCTCCCCTCCTAGGAAGACGGTCATATGGGCCGGGCCTGTCCCTATAGCTTCTTCCTCCTTCATATCGTGTGGGCCCACCAGCAGCAGTTCCATATCGATCACCAACACCTCTTGGAGCCACATCTCTATCATAAGCTCTGTCTTTGCCATATCCATTCTGAGGGTAACGGTCAATGGCTCCATACCTATCCACAGGTAATCGGTCTGCCGGTGGAGCATACCTGATTAGATAATAAGCTAATACGTTAGCAAACAAACGAACTACTTGATGCAACACTAAGGGTGATTGGATATGGATTTGATTAGTTTTTTATTTTTTATTTTTTTTAACCATAGTTAGTTTTGAAAAAAAAAATGGTATGGTTAGTTTTTAGTAGGATTTGGAGTTTATATTAAAATAATATTTAAAATAAAATAATTAAAGTTCATTTGATGTAAAAGTAGGAGAGGGATGATGTGAAATGAAGGTTAGTTAAATTATGTGAGTGGATGAATAGTGAAATAATTTTGATGTGATGTGTACCGATGATTGATTAGTATTATTTAATTATATGAATAATATTGAAGATAACGGAGTTGAGTTAAATTTGAGTTTTGGTTGGTTTTTTGGATTGAATTTATATCCAATCCCACCCTAATTGTGGCAACCTAAAAAATTAAACTGAAATCTTGTCCAGTACCAACTAATCCCCTGTAAGAAACTATATATACCTAGTTTTTTCAAATGATTTCATTTTAATTTGTGATATATTGTAAAAATGTAAAAAAAAAAATCACTACCTGTCACTGATAAATCGATCACGGCTCGCGTATCTATCATCCCGGCTGTCATAACGGTCCCTATCACCATTTCGACTTCTATCATATCTATCATCCACATATCTATCACGATAATCCGGATAACGGTCCCCACGGCCTCCATAACTAGAGCGTGGAGGGGAGAATGGACGAGCACTTCTTCCACCGCCAGCCGACGGGCAATCACGGGCCCAATGGCCCGGACGGCCGCATTTGAAGCAATCATCGGGACCAGCAGCAGACCTGTCTCCTCCACCATAACCACCAGACCTTCCACCGGACGAGTAACCTCCGTAGCCATGAACAGGTGGCGGGTCCTCACCACCCATCTTCGGCTGGGCCTTATTAACTGTTATGACTCTGTCTCCCAACTCTCTGCCATGCATTTCTCTTATTGCGTCGTCCATCGAACGTCGGTCGGCAAATGTAATGAAGCCAAAACCGCGAGGACGGCCAGTACCTCTTTCCAGCATAACCTATATGAAGATTACTATATTTTAAAACAACAACAACAACAACAACAACATAGCCTTTAGTCCCAAGCAAGTCGGGAAAATGATTAACCAGCTGGGCAGAGAGACATCTACACAATTCACCATGGCCAAAATAAAGTGTCGAAAACGAAAACGGGATCAATTCGGATCGTATCGGGAAATCATGTCGAAATGAACTACGCAAAATTCCTTAAATTAACGGTCCTGAATTAAATGGATAGACATGGATTGATCTCATAACATGAGTTCGTGTAATCCACCGGCTTCATAAGGTTTACTGAGCTTACACACGAATGAAAATTCAAGTATATCGGAAACACAAGTTTTTGTTAACTGAGTAATGATTACAAGTTTACAACACCATACGCCACCCTTTTGTGCATTGGCTTTTTCAGCAAAACACCTTAAATTAGATACACTCCTGTAATCTGAAAATATTAATTTAAAATGATCCCCTTTCAGAAAAATTGATCACATTTCAAATTTATGGACCAATGATAAACAAAATTCAGAGAACATGAATAAAGCTGAAAGCATCCTGAGAAGCAAAGCATGTAGTAATCTTTTATATGGCTCTTGTTCTAATGAAGCCAATTATTTAAGTTGAGTCAAATCACATAGATTTATGTTAAATAACATGCTTATAGTGCAAGGAACACTTACATGAGTAGAAGAATCCGCAAAACTGCAGATTCCATTATCTGACATGAGTTTCTACTCAAGCCTTGGATTTTCCAGAACAATGACAACACAGAAAATTCATTCAACCAAAAAGGACTGTATCTTAACCAGAACAAATCTTATCAGATGACACGTGATGTCAATTATATTTCCCTTTACTTGACAAACTTCTTACGGGGCTGCAAGCTACTGCACAATATAACATGAAAAGGATCCACCAGCCACTAACGGCTTCACCTTCAAGCTTCAGAAACTCAAATATTCATTTACATGTCTGGCGCCCATTTTTACAGAAAACTTCACCTTTAAGGCCTTGCTACATCCCAAAACCAGCATTGATCCATGGGCAGTGACTACTAATATATCCACGTGAATTCATATTGTTTTCCAGAATTTTCTGATGTCCTTTTGCAAACCAACTATTTCGTGTGTCGCTTAAAAACAGCACTATCAGTAACCAAACAGAGAACATATTCAAACAATTTACATCAACTATATGCTTTTAGATAAGTGCACAGCTATATTATCTGAGACACTCTGGGCTAGCAGACAAGTTCATTTAACATTAGTGTGTTAACTTCCAGGAGAAACTACAAGGCCTACATAACAATTACATCTTCCTGAAGCCGCAGGGATATACCCAAGCCCTGGTAGATGATCCTAATTGTAAAATACGGACCACCAATCTTCCTGAAAACATAAACTCATAGAGGGCTGATCAATCAATCACCAACCAGACATTTTTCACACAAAGCGACATCCAGTGCATCATACAACAACTATGTGCAAACAGCACAACGACATGTTTAACCCAATTAGCAAAGAGATTGAAAGTTATTATGCAAAATAAAGTGAAGATATCTCCATTCAGTTGCTTCGCAAAAAAGGCTTATTAGACCCATATACAAAAGACACCACCCTACATCTTGGCTGAATCTGAGGATGTGCATTTGAATATGATCGCGCACTCTTCTGCCAGCTTCCATGTTAACCATCTCATAAGGTTATTTCCTAAGAACATACCTCAATGAATGTGTAACTGACAGTGATTCCATTTCTCAATTTAATCAGTCATTCGGCTCAATCTAAAAAGACTATTGAAGGTGGATGGAGTTTCAAGTCTCCAGGAACTAAGGTAACCCGAAATTTGACTCCCCAATGGAGGTAAAAGAAAACAGCAACTGACTTTTTTTATTCCAATTAAAGACATGGAATGAGCACAACCAGCTCTGAGAATGTTCTCCAGATGAATTTGGCCTACGGATGGATCTGCTATCAAGAACCACTGAATGCTCTTACACAGTTTAAGCATAAGTTCAAAAAAATTAGAAACAGCAGTCATCCATTCTTCTAGTTCTTCCACAGACCATCTGCCTTTTTACAGCTAAGTTTAAGTGAAACTGCAAATACTGATTTGCCAAACCCAAAAGACTTCCAGCAGTTGCTTGATGAAGGAACCAGCAACTCGGACATTTAAACAGTGAAACTGAAGATGCATACGAGAGAAAAAAAGCAAGGCCTTCCAACTAGGAGAAACACTTCTCTAAAATGGCAGAAGACTGGTGAAATGTTGCAGTCAGAGAGAGGTTTAACTTACATCCAGAATCAGGAAAGGCTATCAAGTGAGACCAACAATTCACTGGAATTGTAGAAGGAAAATTTTTCAGGAACCAGGCAATCATAACAAGGCAATCATAACAGAGCAAATCCCTACGCAAATCCGAAAATTGCAGATCTATGGCACAAAGGGTATAGAGCTCGGCTACCACCACTTATGCAGAGCCAACTTTTACTGCAGTTCCGACTTCACCAGCCTAACCCTTTTTCTTTCTCTGACAAAAATGCAGCACCAAGAAAACCAGCAACCACTATCAACATACAAACAATTCTAGAGAATCCCCAGTAAAACTGCAAAAGGTGTCGTTGATAACTGACTCTAGAAAAGATTAGCTGAAAAAAACTCAGAAAAACAATAGCATCAGCCCATCAGCAGCGCTAGAGACCCAATAGACACACCAAAGATTTCAGACGTCATAAGCAACATCAATGGAAAGGAATTTCAAGAAAATAAATAGTTTCAACAGATAAGCAGCATAAAAGGCAACACCCAATTGATTAAAAACAATGTAGGGTCACATTCATAACCATAATTAACTTGTGAAACATAGACACAAAAAAGCCCTTTCATAAAATTATTGACATGCAAATAATGCAATATCTTTTCTTAAAAAAATGCTCAAAATAAAATCAGTATTCTCCATTCACAGAAATTCGGCACACCCATAAGATTCAATGGACCACAGAATTACCTTGGGAGAAAGTTTCAAATATAAAATCGGCCCCAAAAAAGAGAAGGAAGAAAAAAAAAAACAAACAAACTTGAAAAGGTCCCGATATTTTTATTCTTACAGATATAGAAATTATGAAAAACTCGCTTAAAAAGCTTGTATTCAACAAAGAGCAACAATAATCCAGTGAAAAACAGGGATCCAACTCACACAATCCCCATTCCCCTTCCCTTCCCCACTTCATATACAATCGAAAAATTCTCAAGCAAAAATCAAATAACGTCATCGAGAAACATGGTACATATATCCATGTATATCACACAGTTTCAAGCGCAACAGAGGTAGAAGGAAATCTGAACCTGGCAATCAACAATTTTTCCAAAACGGCTAAAAGTGTTATCGAGCTGCCGTTCGGTAATGTCCCACGATAAACCTCCCACAAAGAGACGGTGATCTTGCTCCTTGTCCGCCATTTGACGCACTTCTTCTCAGAAGGAAACCCTAACTCCAGAAGCAATACACAAAACGTTAAGAAAAATTGCAATTCCGAAAGAAACATGCACAAACAATCTAAAAAGGAAGAGAATTTTTACACAAAGTCACTTGCGTTTAGAAAAAATGACAGAAATGTTAGGGTTTGCGGCTGTTGAGATTGGGTTTTTTAAACTTGAGCTTGAGGGTGTGTTTGTACTTTGTACATGGAAATATAAAGGTTTTTGGTTCAGCTAAATGTTAATTGGTTGGATCAGTTGAACAACCGTTATTTAATTTATTAATATTTGTAAATATATATAGTAAAAAATATATATATAAAAATTTTGCTAATTAAATATTTAGTCATTGAAATACTTAGGTGGTGATTTGAAATTTTTAAATATGTATTTTTTTTATTTATATTATAAATATTTTTAAATATATTAAAATTCATTTAAGAAAAAAACAGACCTGCTTAAACAGGTTCGGCCGGCCAATTCAACCGGTTTTTGACTGATCGTTGGCAAACGATTCATTTCAGCGAACCGAATCGGTCAAATGACCGGTTCCTAATCCAATCGGTTGGTCCAGTCTAGTTTAACAACCATGAGAAATATTTGGTTTATAGATTTAGAAATATCATACCCAAATCGGATAGTAACATAATTCAATATTTCCAATCGTATCGAAAATTTGATGATTCAATATGGAGATTTTTATTTTTTGGTTCGATTTGACATGAAGTTTCAGGAATATCGGACGATTTAAATTGATACGGTTCATCTCAAACATTCGGAGATTTCTAATTATTAAGTTGGAATGGAAAAAAAAAAGTTAATGGAAGGAAAGTGTTTGGGCAGACAATCATCTCCAGGCAATTCCATTGCCCCAACATTTTTCCTTTGTAATTGATTTGTTTATATACATTTCTATGGTGAATCAAAGACTTTACATCATTAAACAATCAGTTAAAGAAAGAAAATTACATAATTTATACAACTGTACAAGTGTTGGACATACATACATACATCAACCACCAGTTGATATTTACCGTGATTTTCATCGAATTATTTAGGCAGAAATGGCAGCCGAACATCACTATTACCAAGGCCTTCACCTTTGGCAAAATTTGAGTTGGGCTTTATTGTTGTTCTCTCATTTAATTTCTGAGGAAGGATTTGCAACCTGGGATTTGATTCAGTACCAGAGTTCTCAACAGCTAACTGATAACTCTTGACGAGTTCAAGCTGTCGAGCAACAATTTCAGATGGCCTTGGAAGAAGCTCAACAGGCTCACCTCCGGGTATCACAATATACTCAATCGCGAGTCGAACTTCCTGTATTAGATGAAAATTGGTAATATTAAAATCTAATAACTAAGATAACTGCAAAGGCCCCTCAACTTGTTACGGTTTGGACATAAGGAAAAAGCTCAATGCATTCAAAATGCTGATGTTAACAATTGTGTGGTAACAATCTTTTTGTTGATTATTTAGTTCAACGAAATAACAATTGTGTGGTCGAAAGGCTAAATTTTGCCTATATCATTCAAGCATCGCCCTATTATTGCTATGTTTGGCAACTAAATAAGCTAGCTTATAGCTTACTTGGTTAGCTTATAAGCTTCTTGTATTCAGATAAGTTTTGTTTGGTGAGACGAGCTTTTTTAAAAATCTCGAGCTTATCTCATAAACTTCTTTGGATAACTTTTTAAATAAGCTCGTTGAAACTTTTATTTCAGCTAGCTTATCAACTAATTTACCAAATGCTTTTATCACATAAGCTAGCTTTTCAGCTATAAGTCAGAAGCTCGAAAATCATTGATAAGCTATAAGCTAGCTTATCAGCTAGTTTTATCAAACATAGCCTAGCCTATATCAGAACGAAGTCATGTACCTCCAAGGCATCAATTTCCTCAAGTGACGGTTTTCTCTTTGGTGCATCATCTTCAATTTCAATGTCGGGAGAAGTTTTGCCCGACTGTTTTCGTCTAGAGCCAAACGAGTCGATCTCAAGAATCGTTCGGATTGCTTTCACCATTTGGGCCATTGTAGTGGACTGCAATAGTTTTGGCAAGAGTAAACGTAATTGAGTGTACTGTTAATAATTTGAAAATTGGAATTCTTTTCGTTTAATTGCGAAAACTAAAAACTGCTGAGGATACCTTTATAACGAATACAGGCAAGTGATGGAATTTCGCCACCCCACGTATCCAAGGATTCTGTATCATTTCATCACTCGATGCTAAAACGGCATCTGCTAAACCGATGTTATCAGTCACATCTATTTTATCCTCAAGCCCCATTACAGACACTACTTGCAGCAAATCAACTTCTTGGATCTGACATAAAAAAGCCACGAGCAAAATCACACAAGCCATTTTGATCTTGCATATTGAATAAACTGCAGTCTTCAGATCCTATAAAATTTAGCTCTGGAAGTATTTTCTACATATGTATTTTATGGTTCTGCTTGGATACAAAAAGTTTTCTATGTTCCATTTTATTAGCAAAACCCTTTTATTCCAAAAGGCAAGAGCAAAAACGTTTATTCCACATATACTAAATACAGAAATTCATATTCAATAAATGATGGAAAAGGAAAGAATGGTACCTTGTAAGTGTAAACATAAGATGGGTAGCTCTTTCGGCTTACATATACATTAGTGCCCAATTTCTTAGATCTATGATAGTAATCGTCTTCTTCCTTGTCAAACTCTCCTTTAGTCTGCTTAAGATTATTATTTGCCACTTCCGAAAATCCAACAAGTTGTTCTTTAGTTAATTGAATTGACCCTAGTGATCTGTCATGTTCAGAATCCACCATGCGAACTTTAAACGATTGAGAGTCCCCAAGTGGCCGATTTGATTCCACGGAATTATTAGCTCCAGCTTCTATGCGCCGAACCTCAAACAGTGGAGATTTCCCTAACATAAATAAATAAAGAAAAGAAAAAAAAAAACGAGGCAGTTCAAGTCAAGAACTTCTATACAAGATCGATTCATTAAATGTCACTGAATGAACTGAAAAATGCCAATTACCTGCCAATATAGCATCTACAGTTGCATCAAGTCTATGATGAACTCGGCACTCGGTTTTGGATATAATCTCGACCGCACATGTGAATGATGGGGGCCCTTTCCTCTCGAGAATAGTTTTCTGTACTTTCCTCTTTCGTGCTTCCTCATCACCCAGAGTAACATTCTGTTTTTTCAGTTAATTAAAATATCACCATCCATAGTTTCGAACAGAGATGCTAGCTCAGAAGCCATATGAATCTTCGAAACTATTATCCTCGAGGTTTATACTACTAGAAACAAATCAATGAGCTCATGTGAAATTTTTTCATAATTAAACAAAAGCTACTAGTTGTTTTCTGTAATCGATTATAATTAGGCAAGGAGATCTATAAGTACTATGCACCTCTATTCCACCAACAAGGGTCTGCAAAGACGGGTTTTTAATGATGCTCTCTATAGTTATTCCATGAGCAGTTGCAACAAGCTGAACACCTCTTTGGGAAATTGTACATGCAGCAAGTGCCTCAAGCTCGGTCCCGATTTCATCAATTATAATGGTCTCAGGCATGTGGTTTTCAACTGCCTCAATCATTACCTGCTCAGAATTGGAAAACAAAAATAGAGCTGAATATTCAAAAGCTAAAAATTCAAGTTCCCAACTTAATGTACACAAAACACGAAACATAAAAGAAAGCAGAACTATATCAAGACTAACGTTATGCTGCAAGTGAACGTTCGGGACTTGCATCCTTCTTGCACGACCTATACCAGAATGAGGCACATCCCCATCACCACCAATTTCATTTGACGTGTCAACAATAACTACACGTTTTTTCTGGTCATCGGCCAATATTCTAGCAATTTCTCT